GGGGGGGGGGGTGTTAGTTATATATTAGTTATGTTATGTATTGTAGGGTTATTTAGATTAGATTAAGACCTACATAAGTGAGACCCATATTTTGGCTTTATGTATATGTACATACCTTTGTGATTAATACATCAGATATTTTTTCCACATTCTTACAGAGGCTACGTCATGGGTGAGGAGGGGATGGGCGGGAGGCGTCTGGAGGGGGTTGCGGCCCAGAAGAAGATACGAAGGCGGAACTGCAGGAGGTCGTAGCAGGCGGAGGCGCCGAAAAATGTCGCCGGTTCTAGAGTTGGTGGAAGTCGTTAAGTGTATGGTGCGCGAGGAGTCATGAGATGTTACCGGATTTCGGTGGGTCACCGTGAATAGGGTTGTAAACGAATCGAATCAAAGCGACTAGTCAGAGATTCGATTCGAATTTGTTCAAATATTCGAAGATTCGAATTCGTATTCGATTCGTTAACAAACTCATTTTCTGATTCGTATTCGATTCGTTTAAAATATTCGAACATATTCAATTCGATTTGAAATTCGTTTTAAAAAAAATTATAATAAAAAAAATTATAATTACAAAAAATAATTTTTATTTTTCATATATTTTTAGGAAAATTTATTAATTTATGATGTTTTTACTTTTTATGTCATAAAATAGTATGAATATAACAATATATATATATATATATATAATTTATATAATTATTGTTAACGAATCGAATATTCGAATTTCGAATCGAATATCTACATATTCGAATTCAGATTCATTTAACTTTAGAATATAAAACATTCTTCGTATTCGAATTCACGATTGTTGAATTCGAATAAAAAAAATTAATTTGTTTAGCCTAACCGTGAATCGCTGGAAATTTGAAGAAGAAGCCGAAATTTTCTAAATTTTATAAACTTTGACCGGAGCAATTGACGACTTTATAGGTGGAATTTTTGTCGGAAAAAATTAGGAGGTGGATGAGGATGATAAGACTTCAAGATGATGTAAAACAATTTCCGATCGGAGGTGGTTGGCCGGTGGCAACGAGCAGCAGAGGCTCCCATTTGAAAATTCTGGGATTGCAAGGGGTCATTTTGAAAAATTAATAAGTTCTATGGGCTACTTTGCAATTCAAAAGTTAATTGCAACTAAGATGTGAGGCTGATGTGGAGTATTTGATTGTAAAGTCAACGTTTTTTAATTCTGCCACATAAACCACAATCACGACCTGTCACATTTATAAATGTCATGTTATTTTTTTATTCAATGTACGAATAAAAAAGACTAAAATTGACCAAATTGTCAAATTATTAAACTCAGTTTGAAAATGGAAAATGATGTGGTAGTAAATTGAATTTTAGCTAAATTATATGATCAATTTTGAATTTTGGCTTAGAAATTAGCATAATAATATATCCCAAAATTGATATGAATATTTTTATATACGAACTTAAAAGAGTTTCATTAGCATTACCAGTCTTGTGGCCTGCCTG